ACTTGTGTGAAAAATTGTGTGATATTGGGACACACTATTAGTGGAACAGAACAGAGGAACATTTTACCATGCCATTACTGAAACATAGCAGCAGTCACACCTTAACATAATGATGGCTGCATTCTATTTAGGTTGACTTTCTAGAACCCTGGTAATGTGCTGCTGGCTCAGACTTAAATGGAACTGAGCCATCATTACTGTTGTAAGTTCCACCTGTGCTTAACCTGCTGGTCAAGTCAAAATATCTGTTGTGAAAAAGGTCTAGAGCCAAGAGTGCAATTCAAAACAATTTCAAATATTTTTGGTCTACGTGTTTTTCTACTCTGCTGCAGATAAAAGCTGAGGTAGTCTGGATGGGTCAACACAGTGCCTAAATCTGTTACAAAAGATAAAGGACAAAAGGACAGTTTGCTGCTGCGTAAGTGAGCAAAATGTCTTTTATATTGCTTATGTGGTTGCTAATGTTGCTAACTGAGCTTCGATAGCTGTGAACAGCAACTAATTAGCTAGTTTGCCTAGCTAATGTTTTCACTGCTCTATCTGACAATTAGCTAACCATACTAAAATGTATGTCATGTATTATGCAATATAAGCCCTTGCTTTAACACAACTGTTAGCATGGTACAACCATATGTTGTAAAAATATAAATACATCTTCTTTGTACCTTGCAGTGGATGATTAGCTAGGTAGACTCATGGTGTAAAGCCAGAATGCAGTGCTAGATCAATTAGCTATGTGAATTGTAAGGAAGAGTATGGAAAAATAATAACTCATAGATAGTAAAAAATAGCATTTTCTTAGCCAACAAATTGGTTTCTACTGTACAATTGTGGTTAACATTCTGTCAGCAAGAAAAATCATAGAGTAAGTTTTCTACATCACAGATCAATTCAGTGCTTATTTTTGAATATGAACAATTCTTTATGAATGCCTAGAGCTGCCATTCTCTTAGGGCATATCATTTTGATCTAATGTTATGCAAAGACACTGACTTAATTTACTAGAGCTTTTAATCTAATGCACCATGTATAGTTTTTCTTGTTGAATAAAACAATATCTCAGAAACTTTGACCTCTTCTGTTATGAAAGGCATGCCAATTAGTGTGACCACATGAAAATGGCTGAAATTTGGGTCAGGGGATTTGGGGGTGGGCGTGGCCTCCAGTACATTACATTCAGTGTCAATGAACAGTGAAATGCTTGAAAGTCAAAATTGATATTGCTTGTTCATGAAGTTAACTATTTGTCATTAGGAATAACACAATGACTGTGTTGTATGTAATATTGTGTAAATCACGATCCCTTACACAAAGTCTAACGCCTATCACATTTTTCACATTGTGCGTGTCAGATCTCTCCTTCTCCGTGGTTTTCTGCAACTACACTTCCACTGACCTCGCGACTACTTCCACTATCTTCATCTACACTGGTGGCTATAACAACGCTGTTGACACAATTTCCACGATACCCTGCAGACCAGTGCCCATCTGTGGACAACACCAAAATAATGTTTCACAAGGATTTTTATTAGGCTAAAACTAATCAAAAACTCAGGTTTAGTTTCATTTTCGGGACAAACAGGACAAGACGGGTCTCGAGACAACTCCTCGCAATCTGGGACTGTCACGAATTTTTCATCTTGTCTTATCAATGTCCAACGTTATAATAGAGGATATTATTGAGTTGTTGTTTTTGTTTCACTATATGTGTTTTGTGGGCCATGTAGTGAATGCTTAATAGTAGTCTACAGAGTGAACTGTCCAAAAGCATTGGAAAACTATGTTTAAACAGTGAAATTCTGAACTTTTCTCCTTTAGCCTTCATTCTCTGTTGTTCTTTCTTAAAGAATGCCACAAAGGGATACAGAAGTGCTTCAAACATTTCAAAGCAAGTATCACAAGTCCATGTTTGTATTGGGAGGAACAATGGTGTGAAGATCATGCTGTTGGTCTTTTAAAAAAATACCAATGTACTGCAGGACTAGACTTTGGACAAAATTTGTGTCCAGTAAAAATTGTGTTTCTCTGTTATTAACATCTGCACTTCCCTGAAGCAAAACACATATCAGCAGTACTATATAAAATCTTCAGTCATTAATGATGGTAGTGAAGGAGACAGTAATAACTGAAGAACTTGTGGCTTCTATAGATGGAATGCAATGTGGAATTTTATGGTGAGGGAGTCATTTAGTCTGGGCTGAGTATCTGCATTTCCAGTGGTCTTTACAAAGCCTTGTATTTAACTACATTAGGCAAAGAAGAAGATAATGCAAAGACAAAGTGGCATTCCAATGTCTTATGTTTACAAGACAAATTGATCCTAATTGGTTTAAAGAGATATTTAGCCAGGATAATCAACTCAGTTGCTTTCCTGGAAGTCCTGGGTATATACTGTGTATTAAAACAAACAATAAAAAAATAGCGATACTAAAACCTGTAAACCAACAAAATAACAAAATAATTTCTAATGTTCCAAAATTTTAAAATGTAATATAAGGGATAGGGTTTTTTATAATCTGTAAATGTTAATCTACACCCTTAGGTTAGTTTTATTTCTGAGTTTGTCGTTCAGATCAGTTTATTGATGTTCTTTCATGTATTTGGTTTAGTCTTGTTTTGCTGAGTATAGGGTTATAGGGTTAATACAGGGCTATAATACATGTTATAAAGACTGACCAAGTTCAAAAGTACTGTTTCACGGAAGACTTCTGGCTGAAAATCTAAATGCTGTCCCTGTTTAACAGCCCAGTGTCCTTAGGAATTAGGTTTATATCTAGCAGTTCTGCATTCATCAATTTACATCCCATGCCTGCATGCATGGAGGTGTTCAGTTTGTATGAACACATCTTATACACAAGATTTTCAGACAGAACTGACTACACTGTCTCAACGTTGCCACTGAATGAATCAGTAGCTTTTAGCTGTGAAGCTCCCTGGTTGTCAGCACGTCTGTGATAAACAGTATTTACTGCCTGGTTAAAAGCTTACAAAAAAGAACACAAAAGCACCAGAAATTATTGTGAAGTGATAAATCTGTTGCAAATAGGTGGCTGCTGAGCTATTAACCCTGTATTAAGTGCTCGTACATGCCTGAACTGAACCTGTTTGAGCCAGCAACTGACTGAGTGCAATACTGAATTTTTCTGTAATTTGTGACTTGGTTAGCGGAACTTAGTTAGCAGAGACATTATTCAATATAAATTGTTCTATGTTCTTAATATTGCAGGAGGAAAAGTACAAGCAGAAACAGCCACAGTGAGCTGGTAGATGAAGCGATGCAGATGTACTGGCTGGACTGTGGCTTGTGTGAACAAGCACATCTTCACGCCAACGTGCCATAAAGGTAAACAACACCTTTTACCTGCTATCTTGTGTAAACCACTGGCACTGCACAGTCTCAGTGGGTTACACAGGATCGCAGCACGGCTTGAATGGTTGCAGATGCTCATGGCTCAGCTCAGTGCAAATATCCCCATACGTTATCTCTACATTAACCATAGTTAATTTTACATTACCACAAGCCTTAACAAAGTTTTAGTTACTCAACCTTAGCTAACCACAGTGTAGTTGCCACGTATGAATACTGTAGGAATAAATAATAACCATCATAACCATGTCACAGAGCCCTCATGAATAAAAAAGGATTCTGGATGTGAGTGTTGCAGCTCATCCTTGGGACTGAGGGATTGGGATGAGAAAAGTGGTAAAATCCATGGTTGAGGAAATTGGCTGAGAGGCCGCCCACTAACGTAGAGTCATACTCTTTTTGATAGGATTAGAGCCCATTGCCTCACTAAGCAGACACGGCCAATCAGAGATGGCAGAATATAAAGGTCATTAGTAGCTCAAAAGGCCAGACAAATGGTACAATCTCTATATTATTATGGGGTTTTCTTCAGGGAAAGCTTTTCTGTATTGAGGTAGTATTGAACTAATACTCGGACATGGCCATGTCAAACCTTTTTATTCAGAAAACTGTTTTTTGGAAAAGGAACCTCAGTTCAAAGAGAGCAAAGTTTAGTGTTTTGTGAGACATTCGGATTCACATTGAAAACCTTTTTGAACTGATGTTTGTTCAGCGTTTCTTTTGATGAAATTCTTCTTTTAACAACTCAGAGACAGTGTTAGATTTGTTGTAAAAGGTAGGATGAGTATTTGGTGAGTTCATCAAATGAGAGCAGATAACCAAGGCTGTGTGAACACTATTAACTACATATCTGAAAACTGCTACTGAACAACAACAAATGTCATAAAAAATAATCAAATACCACAAACAAGGCTTATCAAATATAAAAAGCTCCCACCAAAACAGACTGCGGGCCAACTTCCAGCCCTTTATTCATATAGCATTTCAATTTCACCCACCCACACCCCCTTTGTCAAAAGGATTCCCATTTTTCCTAATTACTGTGACAGTCAGAATACTCACAGTTTACAGCAGTTTAGTTGTATATCATATGGGGAAAAACTTAAGAACCTATAAAAGTAATGAGCTGCTTTGATGGAATTTTTGTGTGTACAGAATGAAGGCTAACTCATAGTGATGCATTCTTAAAAACATCTGTGCTGATCTTCTGCAGGTCATATGGTATACCTACTGCACACGTGACCTGTGTAGCTACTGTCTGCTATAGTAAGTTTGTACCTTTGTACCGAATTGTACATTGCAGAATTTTAAAATCATAATAAAGTAAAGCAGATATTAAAGTTTTAAATGCTACGCACACCTGCTCGACGAGTTAGCTGTCGAAATCTAATAATGGATGTATCAGGTGTTGAAGCTACATGGTTGTAAAGCAGTGTTGGAAGTTTCATGGCGAATGGTTGAAGAGTTTGCCATACATTTGGGCACAGCGACTCGGATCATGGTTTACAGAGCCTTTCATTTGAAACCATAAAACCGAGAAGCACTTCAGGTCGCCATAAACGAGGGATTAAAATATCGAGGTCCTCGGAAAGACGTCAGATGTGTGGTTGTTTGATCCAAAGCTCCTACGAGTGTTTCTTTAAGTGCGTGTGTGGAGTTTTCCTGCACAGGGTGATAGGAGGGGTTGGAGAGTGACGCTGGCTGCGCTTTGGTGCTGAGCGGAGCGCTCACCTGCAGATGAGAGAGCTGGGGAAACTCGAGGCAGAGCTGCAGCACACTCACAGAGCACACGGAGGGACGTAACGAACAATCTGACCAAGAAAGGGGGGGAATTACACAATTTTTGGAGAAGAATTACGAATCGACCCTCTTTCTGGTTCCTCGTCCAGGCAGCCCTGGCTCGCTTGCTCGCCACGATGAGAACAGACTTCGCTCTGGTCCTGACAGCAGCCCTTCTTCTTGACACATTCTGGGTGAGATGTCTCTTTTTTTAGTACAGCTTGTGCTATGTAGAGGAGTTGTGAGAGTACAACACGCAGCGTACCCAGTGTGAAGGGTTCCAAAGCTTTAGCACACAGGCTTAAATAAAGTCATGTAGTCGGATGGAGTCCAGTGTCAGTCCAGTGTGCTGCTGCAGCAGCGCAGCGCCGGTCGTTATTTCCGTGCAAGTAAGCTAATTGGTTCCCAAATGAATTTCACTATAAGGGAGAAAAATAAAGAAGAAAGTAAGAGCTAACCGCTCAGTATTGTCCGCTGTGACCCTCGTCAGGTTTTTCTCTGGATCGCTGCGGATTCTGCAATATTACACAAGTTAAAATGACTGCACAATTTAATCACCCAGGGTGATCAGTTCAGTTCAACGGGGCTTTATTGGCATGGGAAACATACGTTTACGTTTCCAAAGCAAGTGTGAAATTAAACATGTAAAGAACAATTGCGTCCCTTTATTCTCTATCAAACTCCTATAGTCATATCGTTTATTTTAGCCTTCCTCTATACGGCTTGCCTGGCCAAAAAGCAACAGCCAACAATAAGTTAAACTTTTGTAATAAGGTTTTCTAAAACCCTTTCTCGCCATTTAATCAATAAAAGCTGAATTAAGTCGGCGCCGGTGGGCTACTCTTGACGGCGCACCAGAAGCTTTGGGAAATCTTTCTCGCTGCCGCTTTTGTGACTAAAGACATTGCTCTCATACTACGTAGGCTACATTTAGAGAAATTATACAAAAATATTTGACTTCTGCCTTATTCCCTTCCAAGAGGTGAGGAACCTGGTGCTTTATGCCTACTCTTCAGTCAGACTCCAGCCAGCCTTGGCACCGGTGTGTGTGAATGTGTGTGTGTGTGTGTGTGTGTGTGTCCACGCACATTTACTTGTGCGCCTGTAGTGGCTGTAGTGGGTCAGATCATTCAATTTAACCAACAGTGAGCACTAAATGTTGTGTGCAAAGTTTTCTGCAAACCATTTGAGGAGCATACAGACACATCTCACACACAAGAACTGCTCAGTTCCTTCTTATTTCTCTGGACCCCTCTGCTAGACCCACAGTCAGGAGGCAGAAAAATTTGCTGCATTCATGCAGTTCTCTTTTTGAGTGTGTATGCAGCATGTCTCACTTAACCCTGAGCACAATACTCGAAAATTGTCCTCATTTCATCATGGGCTGGTTTCTTTATGGAGTTACACAGCACATTTTATCACATTGTCTGTATTTGTATTTAATCAGCAATGTGCCTACCAGGAATACCAGAACTTGTTGAATAAATTTATGCTAACTGCTGAGCTATATGCTGCTATTCTCCACTGCTCTGGGCCAAAGAGAAGCAAGAAATCAATGAAATCCATGTCTATCGATGTTTTACATTGTATTCTCTTCCTTCCAGAGGAATAATGGGGAGCATGCTTCCAGTGGTCCCTGCCAAGCTGGCTTCTCACAAAGCTTCTACTCTGTGCTGATTTCGAGGGATGTACTGCAAGGCCAGGGCATACTTAAAGGTAAGACCTTTAATTGGCGAGTCAGTTCTTTTATGTTTTGTCAAGAAGATTTAGAGTGTGAGTAAAAGAGCTCCCTTTCTGCATTAAGGCCGGTGAAAGGAAAAGTGTGTGCTGATAAGTTTGCTTTCAATGCCAAGCCACATAGTTTTTAAATTACTGAAGTAGCACTTATGCATTGATTTATGCAAAATGATGAAAAAGTGTATTGAATAATTTAAAACAAAAATGTAACTCGACACAATACATGGTATTTATTACACTCCAAAAGCTTGTCTGTTACATTTTGGGGTACGTGGGCTAGAATTTATTTTTGTTTTTTGACATTGCTCAACCTCTCAAACATTTATTATTATTAATATTTTAATCATTATAATCTTATATCACCGTCACACTACTATGTCTTACCAAGTTGGATATGTGTTGCTCCAATTACACAGTGAGCCAACCAAGTTTGAGGACCCGATAGTGCAGGAAATGGAATCGACATCCTGTGTCTAATCTGGCACTGCTCCTGCCAATGTGGGCTAATTGCAATTCTCTATTGATCCCAATGGTTTTTTCTCATAGCTCAGCTAAGCTGTATTGTTTTGCTGTGGGCGCACAATAGCTCTTTTGTGGGTCGACTGTGTCTTCGGCAGCTGCACAGTATATATTTCTCACTCTCCTTAGCAGAGAGAGACCTGGCTGGGATACAGCTGTCTAGACTCCCTCTCTTGAGTGTGCGTGTGCACACAGACACACGCACACACAGGCGTTGTAGACTAAGCATATACAGCACAATAGGGTTCAATATATTATTTTTGGGTTGTTTTCTCTCTTGTGTCTATAGTTGTGTTTGTCCTTGACTGGAGTGATAGAAGTCTGGAGGAAGCTACCGGCTTGATTTTAGTGTTTCATTAACTTCAGTATATTGTTGCCTGGCTGGAAGTGGGACTGGATATGGGACATTGTCACCGATAGTGAGTTTGCTCTTGGTGTGGTAGTGATGTCTTCAGCCCAGCAGGGGGTGTCAACACAATCACAAACAATCACAGAATGAGCCATCACGGCTGCACAGGAGCCATTTATTTCAGAGAGCATTATTTATCTCAGGGAGATGAAATTGTCTCTGTGTCTCTTCAGGCATAAACTAATCTTTAGTGGTCTAACAGGGTTTTTTCAGCATTATGAATTCAATTTACTACCAATAGATGCTTTAGTGTGATTCTACTGCACACCTTTTTCTAATGTAAGACCCAAAAACACAGCTTCAAAACATTCCTGTTATCAGACCAAATAAACACACAAACAGACTCACAGTATTCCCTTAAATCACATTCAAAGCCTATGCTTTAACATTTCCTCTGTGTTGTTTGAAAGGATCTTGCTAAAGTAACATGTGCTCATCTTTGCCATGACACACTCACAGCTGCAATGTTGTCTCACTGTGTGTCTGAGAGCAGCTGTACACACACACACACACACACACACACACACACACACACACACACACACACACACACACACACACACGCATCATATGTGATTTACAGCGCTCAGGCAGTTGATTTATAGTTGGTAAGGGTGTCACTGGAGGGAGGCAGGAAGCTACTCTGGAAAGGCTTTAATAATAACATTGTTTAACCCAAAACCGTCACATGGGGGCAGGAGTAATGACACCCACTCATGCACAGTTCCACTCACACACACACACGCACACACACACACACACACACACAAGTATATATATTCATGTTAGCCACCGGGGGAATAATGGGAAGGACAGAACTAGGACCTTGGCCATGATGGGGAGGATGCCAGGGTCTAGACAGGAGGTCAGCAGGGAGGAGGAGGGTGTTACATTTCACATTTTTATCATTTTGATAAAAAATACTAGTGAGACCACCACAGCAAATATAGATACAAAGCTAAAGCTAAGAACGCTAAATAACATTGCAATTTTTCATGATACAGTCTAGGATATATTGTCCAAAATGTATGAAATAGAATAGATTAAGTGTTATTATTGCATTGTCTTTGTAATGCGCTGCTCGCTTTTTTATAATGTCCTCTCATGAGTCATTTTGATTTTTGATTAATCTTCCTTTGATGAGCAGGGATGCTCATTTAGATTACTTCCCAAAAATTCTGGGGGTTCTGGCCAATTGAGGGTTTTCATTGATAAACACAGTTTGTGCAGTTAACATTTATAGATTCTACACCATGCGTTGTTTCTGCTAAGTGAATTCATTCACTCTCAATTTATCTGGAAAACCCCTGCCAGTTACCAAAATTAATGGCAGAAACACATAAAAACAGGATGCCACTTAGTTTGTGTTGGTAGATTACAAAGTGGATTGTAAAGTGGACATTTAATGGTTGTTTGAAAATTACACTGCTGAGTATTGATGATGTTGGGTCAGATGGTGTGTTTATTTACATTTTAGCACCAAACTGATTAATTCAACTCAATTCAGTTTTATTTATATAGCGGCAATTCACAACAATAGTTACAGTTTTAAATTCCCATATAAAAGTCATTATATGAACATAGAGAAACAGCAGGGGTGAAAGGGGTGGGGGGTGTCTTTAGACTTACAACAGCTTCTTTACCACACTGTAGGCACCATTAAAGGTAGTGTTCTGCCAGGCCTGGTTTACGCTATGCTATAGTCTGTTTCAGCGGTGTAGAAAAGTATACTCAGTTGTTAAAATGATTTGAAGGTTTGATATTTGGATCAACAATAGACGCTGTCATGATATTTGGAGTGTTTTGTATCCCACTGACGAGAGAGTATGAGCTGGGCCCTGGCCAGACTCATTCAGATAAACAGAGCCAGCTAACGTAACCTCATCCCATGTGTCTCTGCATCCCTCTGCTGATTCTGTTCCTGGTAATGAAAGCCAGGGATGGTGGTTTCAGCTCAGCGAGCCCACTCTGCTGACCTTGGACTTTGTTTGGGTTACTGGTGGTTTTGGGCAGACCTCACTTTCTGTGTGTGTATGATAGAGAGAGAGAGAGAGAGAGAGAGAGAGAGAGAGAGAGAGAGAGAGAGAGATATTCTAATGTCTGTATGTGCTTATGTTGGACATGTCAGTACCTGAGCTATATCGATGCTGACGTCCAGCTTTTCAGAGGGAACTGGAGATATTCTCTGCAGTCATCAATTAGTTTTTAGAAACTCTACTGATGCTGGGCTCCATTTTAAATGTTAAAACTTAGATCCCTTGAGTAACTCATCAGCCAGAATGAATGGCCTGAGTGTCTGTATAAAGGTCCTTAACCCTCCTGGCCAGGCTCAGGATTGCTATTGTACTCATTAATACATATTCTGTTGCACTGTAAGCACTCTTTCTCTCTCCCTCCCTTACATACACACAGTCACACATTCAGTGTCAGTGCAGTGTCCTTATATGATGCCATTCAGTAGAGATTCACCATTCAGTTGATGGCATTTAAATCTATGCCTTGCCTCTCTGACCCAGATCCATTCTCCCACCCTTCAGTGCCACCATATTTCTATCATATTCGTAGCTCCAGAGTTATAAACACATACACAAGACACATTGCCCACTAGGAATGGATGAGAAAGCTTTGCATTCTGAATAAAACAAATTGTTCAGAGCTGTAATTTTCTCCAGGATAATATTTCCAAAAATGTCCTCCAGCGGGCATCCAGAAGGCCCCTGGTGACGAGTCTCACTTGCCTTGGTTGGTGAGCTTTCCTGTGAGGTGATTTTTCAAAATCCATTAGCCAGGCTGTTACTTTGCTGAAGGCTTTGTATTCTGAACATCATTTTGCAACTTCAAGAGCAGAAGTAAGAGTAAGCATCAATTTCACCACCACTTTAACGGACATAACCATTTTCACATAATGGCTCAAATAACCTTACAGGATCCTCTGCCTGAGATATTAATAATACACCAAGAATTAGAGACTATCATCCCCTCTACCCAAAATCAGAGTTGACACACACTCTTTAGTGGTTCAGAGTGCTGCTGATGTGGGAACAGAAGTTCGCTTTGAATGAGTAACTCACAAGAGCCTGAACAAAAGATGTCATTTATTTTCACACACTCTATAGGGATGGACAATTCATCAATTTTTATCTTTCCTTTCACCCTCAAATGGAATTAGATTGTTTTGATTTCCTGTTTACCTTTTGCCCCAAATCTCATGATACACAGCCCGCAGAGTTATCTGGGTCGATAGCAGACAGGCGTCCTCATGGAGATTAGATATTGTTGGAATATAGCCTCCTTTGTTTCATTCTGTGTCTGTCTAAATCACTCTTATGGTTTCCTCTCGTCATTAGTTTTGGATCATGGTATCTTACTTTATTCTAATCTTTTCGCAAAGTCCTCTCTCTCTTTGATTCTCTCTTTTCGTTGTGCTGAATCATTCATGTTTTGTCTCTGCAGCCCCCTCCCATATAACCATCTAATCTCTGTTATAATGCAAAATAAAAACAAAAATCCTTATTCTCTTTCCGCCATCTGCTTGAAATATTACTTGGTTTATGGCTAATTTTTGTGAGGATATAGAGTCACAGAGACAGGCACAGACACATCCGTTTTCTACGGTTATTAATTGCAGAAACGCATGAGGCTGACATTTGTTGGATGTCTTGTGAAGCAGTAAAGACTCTACAGACATACTGAGGTGCTGGTTTATGCTCTTCAGGCCAAAGGCTAATCTGACCTCAGGGAGCTGTTACAAATAGCCAGTTGACACATATTTACTTAATGTGTAACCTCAGGCCTGAAGTATGTGTCCAATAGTTTTAAAGAATTGTGTGTGGATTTTCCTGAGAGGCTCATATAGATGATTTAGCCACATGGTTGAGCGTTTCTTTCCTTGTTAAGGTCTAGACATGAGTGGTTTATGAGATGAGCAAAGGGGGGCAGACGTTACACCTGCAGGAGTTCCTTTTGATTAATACTGTTAGCCTTGGGAACCCGTGCTGTGCAACAGTTATGTGCTTTTGTGTGCTTGGTGTGTGCGTTTTGTGGTTGAATG